GGAAACCCACCCTTGACACTGCCTGGAGAGCCAGGACCCAGAGGCAGGATAACCCCAGAGACCTAGAATAGAACCAAACATGACTGGAAAAAAAAATCAATGAAATGATGCCTACCGATATTCTACTATACTCCTAGGTTGGTGCCTAGCCCAACTTCTCATCAGAGAGGCTTCACCTAGCAACTGATGGAAATCCACAGCTTGAGGAAATCTATGGGAGGGGGGAGGGAGGGTTGTGGGAGGTGGAGGGACCAAGGACACCATAAAAAAACCCACAGAACCAACTACTCTGGGCTCATAGGGGCTCACTGCAACTGAACCAACAACCAGGGAGCCTGCATGGGACTGATGTAGGCCCTCTGCGAATATGTAACAGTTGTGTAGCTTGGTCTTCTTGTGGGACTCCCAACAGTGACAGCAAGGGCTGTCTCTGACTCTGTTGCCTGCTTTTGGGACCCTTCCTCCTACCAGGTTGCCTCATCCAGCCTTAATAGGAGAGGGGGTGCCTAGTCTCACTGCAACTTGATATAACATGGCTGGTTGATAGCCACGGGAGGTCCGCCCTTTTCTGAAGAGAAGTGGAGGAGGAGTGGATTAGAAGGGGGGACTGGAGTTAAGGGGAGTGAAAACTGTGGTCAGGATGCAAAAAAGTAAAAATGTGCCTTCCAAATAGGGAATGGAATTTTCATTTGAGGTTGAAAATATTTTTAAATATATTTTTTATTTATGTGAATATACATGTGCCTGCATGAGTTTACATGCTTCATGTACATGTGGGTGCCCTTGGGGGCCAGAAGAGCATGTCAGACCCCTGGAGCTGGAGTTAAAGGTAGCTACAAGCGGCTTGAGATGAGTGCTGAGAACTGAACCTTGTTCTTCAGCAAGAATATTAAGTGCTCTTAACTTTTGAGCCATCTCTCCAGCCCCTGGAATCAATCTAGTATTACTTTTTTTCTTTTGTTCTGTTTTAGATTTACTTTCTTATGTACATGAGTGTTTTCCTGTATGTATGTATGTGCCCATGTGCATGTCTGGTGTGCACTGAAGTCAGAAGATATGAACCACCTTGTAAGCCCCCATGAGGATGCTGGGAAGCAAACCTAGGTCAACAAGCACTCTTAGCTACCACAACATATCTCCAGTCCCCTGAAGTTTTCTTCCTTCCTTCCTTCCTTCCTTCCTTCCTTCCTTCCTTCCTTTTCTTTCTCTCTCTCCCTTTCTTTCCTTCCTTCCTTCATTTTCTCTTTTCTTTTTTGTTTGTTTGTTGTCTTGTTTTTATGAGACAGGGTTTCCTCTGTGTAGCTTTGGAGCTTTTCCTGGAATGCACTCTGTAGACCAGGCTGACCTTAAACTCACAGGGATCCACCTGCCTCCTGAGTGCTCAGTTCCCACAGTCACAGGGTGACTCCTAACCTGAATCTCCAATTCCAGGAGATCCAAGGCCCTTTTCTGATCTCTTCAGACACCTACACACATGACGCATATGCATACATAAGATAAGATTTTTAAAGAATACATATAGGCCAGGTGTTGGTGGCACACATCTTTAATCCCAGAACTGGGGAGGCAGAGGCAGGTAGATCTCTGAGTTTGAGGTCAGCCTGGTCTACAAAGGGAGTTCCAGGACACTGCTGTTACACAGTTATACAGTGTTTGCTTGAAAGCAAACAAAAAGTATATATATATATATATATATATATATATATATATATATATACACACACACGCAACATAAAATAAGACTTTCAATGAATATATTGGAATTTTTGAAGGTTGTTTATCATATACATATATAAACTTTATTGTAATGAACTTACAAAAACACCTTGGGACTAGATTAAGGTAGCCACTCAAACACTTCTATACAGCTAAAATGAAGTCATGGAGCTTCACTTACAGTTTTATACTTTCACTATCAATTATATTTTTATACACTTACCCACCCACCCCCCACAAAAAAAAAAAACAGGAAAAGAGAGAAAAATACATAGGCTCTGGGGTACTGGCTCAGCCATTAAGAGAACTGGCTGCTCTTAACCCAGAGCACCTGGGTTTGATTCCCAGCACCCACATAGTGGTTCACAATGGTCTGTAACTCCAGTTCCTGAAGCTCCAACGCCCTCTTCTGGTCTCCATGGGCACTGCATACACATGGAGCTCAAACATACACGCAATCAATATATCCATACACATAAAATGAAAATAATTAACTTTAAACAAAAAAGAAAAAAATGACAGTTGATTGGCTTCATATACTCTTTTCCTTATTCATGTATCCTTTTGCCAGCATTCTATCTGATGTGGGTTGCTGTTTGTATGCTGTGAATATGTTTTATTACCTTTGGTTAATAGAGAAGCTGATTCGGCCAATAACCAGGCAGAATATACCTAGGCAGGAAATCCAAGCAAACAGGGAGAAAAAAGGCAGAGTTCAGGAGACGCCAACAGCTGCTGGAGAAGCAAGATGTAAGGTAACAAGCCACAAGTCTTGTGGTAAAATATAGAATAATAGAAATGGGTTAATCTAAGTTGTAAGAGTTACAACTACTAGTTAATAACAAGCCTCAGCTAATAGGCCAAATAGTTTATAATTAACATTAAGCCTCTGAGCGGTTATTTTAAAAGCAGCTGTGGGACAGGGCAGGACAACCTCCAGCTACACATTCTTCTTTACCATCTAATATTACCCTTTCTTGGTCTCCTATCTCAATGTTTTACTATAACCCCATTTACAGCTATCATATGTATGTATTCATTATAAGCTAGGATCTTCATAGGAAGAAGAACATATGGGTTTTTCCCCCTTTCTTTCTAAGTTTGGGTGACCTCATTTAATATTATTTCTTTCATTTTGGTGGGGGAGGGTTTGAGACAGGGTTTCCTTTGTAGTCCTGGAACTCAGTATGTAGACCAGTCAGGCCTCACAGAGATCCTCCTGCCTCTTGAGTGCTGGGACTAAAGGCATGTACCACCACTCCCAGCTAATATTATACTTTCTAAGACCATTTTCCTCCAAGTTTGGAGATTTAATTTTCCTTTACAGATGAATAATATTCCACTTTTTTTGTTTGTTTGATTTTCAAGACAGAGTTTCTCTGTGTAACAGCTCTAGGTGCCCTGGAACTCCCTTTGTAGACCAGACTGACCTCAAACTCAGAGATCTTCCTGCCTCTGCCTCCCGAGTGCTGGAATTGAAGGTGTGTGCCACCACTGCTCAGCTGTTTTTTAATATTCCAGTTTATGTATGTACCAGATTTTCATTATTCATTCATCTGTTGCTGGACATATATGTTAGTTCCATTTCCTCACTATAGTAAATAGAACAGCAATAAACAGGGGTGTGTAAATAAAGCAATTATTCATTTATAAGATTTAAGTGTTTTAATACTATAAAGATTGGCTACTACCTCTCATAGCTGGTACTCTGTTTATCTTATCTACAGTGGCAAAGCTATATAAAGATATAATCTGTTGAATGGAATTTACTAAATGATACAATTGCCCATTACTTAGTGTTTAATGACTTGATTTTTGACTAGAAAAAAAAACAATCATCTTGTTTAGAAAGAATTGGTTACTTGCTTATTTTTCAGTAAACTTCTAAATTTTTCAAATTTTATCATTGCTACATGTGCTACTAAGGATTAGTGATCAGTGACAGCTATTAAACATTAAGTCAATATGGTATTGACAAAGGATGGGCAGATCAATTGAGTCCATCTGGAACAGAGCACTATATCACTCTTCTTAGGATGGAAACACTTAGTAAGGGGGAGGAGATTTTCTTATTATTATGGGCAAAATATAAAGAAAATGAAGACTTATTTCATATTATACTCCAAAATCAAGTCCATAAGTATTAGTAATTTAAGTATAAAAGGGAAAATTTTAACATTTTGTTTTTGAATACCACTGTTTTAATAACATGAAATACAAGTACAAAACGTCGTACAAGTATGCGTTTTACTACATGGAGATAGAATAACATGCATGTGTTTTTACCAGAATCTGTATCACCAAGTACTTCTGTCACAGAACCAATGGCTTTCCAGAGATTTTTATCAGTCCTATGCAATTTTAATCACAAATAAAAAAAGCTTACAACTCTTTTCAGCCACTGCAGATTTATGTTTATGTTAATATACCTGTTCAAGGTGCTTTGGAGAACTGTTACATAATATAAAATTACCTTAGCTTAAAGTTTTGAATGGGTAGTGCTCTCTCACGTTGATCAAGTCTCCCTTGCAAAGAAACAGTGCACTTATTTCAGGGTCTACATATGGCAGCAGCCCTCAAACTGTGTAGGAAATTAAATAATCACTTTCTGAAAAGGTTAGAGTATCATAAAAGCTACTGGTTAAGCAGAAATGCATAAAGCCCCATTTACAGAATACAACAAAGGATGATAGTAAATACTAAAGAAAAACAAGTTTAGCTGGGCATTGGTGACTCACACCTTTAATCCCAGCACTCAGGAGGCAGAGGCCGGCAGATCTCGGTGAGTGTGAGGCCAGCCTGGTCTCCCGAGGGAGTGCCAGGATAGGCTCCAAAGCTACACAGAGAAACCCTGTCTCGAAAGACCAAAACAAAAACAAAAAAAAAAACCCGTTCCAAAAAAAAAAAAAAAGAAAAACAAGTTTATAAATCAGCAACTGTTGGTCTTTCTTGCCTCTAAAAGGTTTACCTCATCACCTGAGAGTAATATCAATCAATAAACAAAAAAATTGTGTAAACTGTGCTGATAGCCAGCATTCAGTAGCCTCCATAGCATTCCTCACAGTTTTGGGCCATTTCAGTTAAGAGTTGTCTTATAACAGATAAAATAAAATGAAAGCAGCATTACTTTGCAGGGAAATATGAAAAAAAATACTGTTAATTTCATAAAATATTTGAAAGTAATTTTGTTCTCATAAAATAAAATGGTGTTTTTAAAGTTTTAATTTTTCTTGCTGTGAAAAAAAAAAAACCTACTCAATCTTCAAGGATAACCTGAACCACATTTTCAACTGCCGGTATTATGCTTTATTCTTGGTAGAATCATCTTTGTTTCTTCTTTTTATGTCCCAATTATAAACCCTGGCCATATTGACTTCTGTAGTAGTAAACTGATCTTGAAGAAAGTCAAGGTCTTTCTCAAGAGAATCCAGATTCTTTCTGGCAGTTGATAAATTGTTTTCCAACAATGCCCGAGCTTCATCAATGTCATATTCAAGCATTACATTAGCCCCCAACCACAGGCACACTTTATCAGTAGGCGGAACCAAAGCTTTGCAATACAGGTTATCTGCCAGTAAGAATCTGGTCTCCACTGAATTGGTAGACTCCTTTTTTTTCTGCATGTATTTTAGAATTTCCAAAGTCTGTTTAATTTCAGGAATCTGACCTTTCAGCCTCCTTTTTTTTTCAGTAAGGTTGAGTTCCATAAACATATACTTCTGATGTTGTTCATTCAGCTTCTTTAACACTGTATCTGCAGTCTCATTCCCAGGCTGCTTCATGAAAGAATCTACATCTTCCACAAACACCGCTTCAGGAATCCCTGGGTGGATCCGCCGCCCGTTTCCAGCAGCAGCTTCTAAGCCACATCCGTCCTGAGCCGCGGCCATCTTAAGAAAAAGGAAAATTTTAACTTTTAAGAAAAAAATTATTGTTCTTTAATTGTTCTTTAAAATAATTGTTCTTTAAATCTTTTAAAAAATTTAAAACATTTATTTGTTTGTTTCAGAGGCAAGGGCATGAGCCAGGCATTGGTGGCACACACCTTTAATCCCAGCACTCTGGAGGCAGAAGCAGGTGGATCTCTGTGAGTTCGAGTCCAGCCTGGTCTACAAAAGCTAGTTCTAGGACAGGCTCCAATAAGAAACCCTGTCTCGAAAAAACCAACAACAACAAAAAAATAAAGGTAGAAACAATTTCCTTCTACTTGGGAATTAAACTCAAATTGTCAGGCTTGGCTGTAAGAGTCTTTACCACTGAGCCATTTTGCCAGTCCAGTTGGAAATGATATCCTTACATTACAGTGTCAGTCCATAAGAAAATTTTATCTTTCTGACTTTGGAGTAACAAAGAATCCTTGACAGAGGCACAAGCACTATAAGAAAATACTATAAATTCAACTACATTAAAACCAAGATATCAGCCGGGCATTGGTGGCACGCGCCTTTAGTCCCAGCACTCGGGAGGCAGAGGCAGGTGGATCTCATTGAGTTTGAGACCAGCCTGGTCTACAGAACGAGTTCCAGGGCAGTCTCCAAAGCTACAGAGAAACCCTGTCCTGAAAAAAAACAACAAAAAAAAAAAAAAACCAAAAAGACAAGATAACTCTGAATCTTCACATTGAGAAAGTGAAAAAAGAACAAATGACTGTAGGGGACACTGTAACCCCACCTGCTAGGGGCTGGCTACAGGTGTGCCTGACCACGCCTGCGAGGGTGTGGTCAGGGTGATGTGGGCAGCCCTTCTTCCATTTCATCTTCAGCTTGCTGTATTTACTGCTGCCCTGCCAGCTGGCTAGGTCACTCTGTAAGTAAGGCTTTTCCCTAATAAATTCCCTTATATTTTTACCTGACTCCATATTGGTAATTTCCCACATTAAATGACAAATTGGGAAAAGATATTTCCCACAAATGTAGTTGATGAAGGATTAAGAGGATTAAGTTACCAAAATATATGAAGAATTCCTACAAACAAAAGGCAAACAATAAAAAATGGACAGGAGACAAATAGGCATTTTAGTAAAGGGTAACTATAAAGAGATTATAAATATAGGAAGAGATAGTGCTGGGATATGTGATATGAATAATAACATCACCTCCGAAATTCATATTGAAACTTAATCTTCAATGCAACAAAAATAAAATGAGGGGTTTGGGGAAAAACAATTAAGTCCTGAGGGCTCTTTTTTTTTCTTTCTTTCTTTTTTTTTTTTTTTTTTTTTTTTTTTTTGGTTTTTCGAGACAGGGTTTCTCTGTGTAGCTTTGGAGCCTAACCAGGCTGGCCTGAAACTCAACAGAGATCTGCCTGCCTCTGCCTTCCGAGTACTGGGATTAAAGGCGTGCGCCACCAACGCCCGGCTGTCCTGAGGGTTCTTTACTTTTCCCATTGCTACAACAAAATATTTGACAAGAAGCAAGTTAAGGAGATGTCCCAGAGCTCCCATCTTAGTTTAGGTTTCTATTGCTTCGATGAAACACCATGACCAAAAAGCAAGTTAGGGAGGAAAGGGTTTATTTGGCTTACGCTTCAGCGTTGCTGTTCATCACTGATTAAAGTCAGGACAGGAACTCAAACAGGACAGGTTCGCAGGCGCAGGAGACGATGCAGAGGCCATGGAGGGAAGCTGTTTACTGGCTTGCTTTCCATGGCTTGCTCAGCCCACCTTCTTATAGAACCATTAAATGAGAAAATACCTTACAGCTGGATCTCAAGAAGGCATTTCCTCAGCTGAAGCTCCTTCCTCTGATGACTCTAGGTTGTGTCAGGTTGACACACAAAACCACCCAGTAGATCCCCCCCCCAAAAAAAACAATACAGCTATTGTCATTGTTCTTGGTTGCCCACCAGAACTTGATTGTAAGACCCTATTTGAGGGACCACACACTTTGGTTACAGGATATGGAGAAATCAAGTTGGTAATAACCAAGACACTTCCTTCTAGAGAGTGTTATGCCAGATGCTAGGGGAAAAATAACCCATCTGTGAACCCTGTGAGCCACAATAATTATGAGCATGGCAAGATATGCCCATGGGTATAATAGTGGCATAGTTGTTATGGGGGTAACCCAATTACTTTCTACTTAGATTTAAGGCCTACTTCACAGGAGGAAACACATTCCTGGGACTATAAGTCTGGCCAAGAACACATAGTTGAAGAGCTATGGGCCTCACAGGTAAATCTACTACTACTACTTTGCTAAGTGGACGCAGCATCACCTGCCCTTTAAATCTGGGTATCTATTGCCATAGCTTAGTGCAGTTCTCAGACCTCTCAGAAAAAAAAAAAAATTTCTTTTTGTAGTGGATGGTAATTAACTCAGAAACTTACAACTGTTCAAAGTGCAGAAAATTACAGTCTGTGGAGTGCTCAACTACAAATGAGACATCTCCATCATACATACTCCCTTCCCCCAGGCTCAGAGGGCATCGTGGAGGAGGGAGCAGAAAGATTTAAGAATGAGGTCAGGAAGAACCGGGGTGGATGTCTTCTGGACATGGCAGCACTGCTATGGCCTTTGTCGTGACCCGGCTTGTCTCAGCTTTAACCCACAACAGCCATGAGGTTCGGCCTGAGTGGGGGGGTGTGGACCTGGAAGCTCCCAGCAACCCAACGGCAATTCAGATCAAACACAGTCATCTTGTCATCTTCAGAGAGCTCTCAGGTCCATGTTGTAGAACTAGAGTCATTTCTTTATTAGCCATCTTTTTTGGTGTTTCTTAACCATCCTGCCAACACCACGAGGGAACCATTCCTCTCTTTGTTCCCTCTCTGCTCTGGCTACTCGCCCCTAACTCCTAACCATCCATCCTCACAAGTTACTCACATACCTCTGATCTCCCTGCCCAGGTGCAGGCCTATTCAGATGCTTAGGTGCATAGATATGCAAATTAGGAGGCATAGTACCCTGAGGCCATGGTAAACAAAAGTAGCCCTACTGGCATTAACAATACGCTCCATGTTTAGTGAGGCCAAAGGCTGGATCTCAAAATATTCCATAGCAGAAACACTTTGGTCCCCCACTAGCCTTGAATTCATAGCAGCTGCGGTTGCCTGCAGAACACCTGCACAAGAGAAGCCAGTGAACTGGAAGTCAGCAGTCACAATGGGAAGGGGAAAGGCTCACAAACCCTACCCTTACCTGAGATGCTATTGACAGTTGGTGCCTTCTGGAGAAGGAAGAGTTTTCTTTATAATTGTGGCCCTCCCATACGGGCGGTGGTGGTGCACACCTTTAATCCCAGGACTTGGGAGGCAGAGGCAGACAGATCTCTGTGAGTTTAAGACCAGCCTGATCTACAAGAGCTAGTTCCAGGACTATCTCCAAAGCTACACAGAGAAACCCTGTCTCAAAAAAACAAACAAACAAACAAACAAAAAATGTGGCTCTCCTGGTTAATTCAACCGTGCTCCAGTGGATGGCTTCACTGAGTGTGCAGGCAGTACAAACTGGAATGGTGGACTAGATTTTAAAAAAAGAAGACACAGCATTATACAGACTAAGAAAGCATCACATATATTTTAGGGATACACATACATACACACATACACACATAGACACACTCACACACACAAACAGTTAAAGAAAAAGAGGCCATGAACTTGAGAAAAACCAAGGGGGTACATAAAATGGTTTGGAGGGAGGAAAGGGAAAGGGTAAATGATGTAATTATATTATAATTTTTAAATATTTTAAAATTAAAGGTGTTGATGCATAACTTTATTTTCAGCACTCAGGAGACAGAGGCAGGTGGAACTCTGTGAGTTCAAGGCCAGCTTGGTCTATAGAGCAAATTCCAGGACAGCCAAGTCTACATAAGGAAATCCTGTCTCAAAAAAACAAACAAATAAACAAACATATATGTGTGTATGTATATTTGTGTATACTGTTTTATTTATATAGTTACAACTATATGTAAATATATATATATATATATAATAAGATATATTTTTAAAAAAACAAAGCAAAAGAGGGCACAAAGTTAAGCAAAAGAGGGCACAAAGTTGGAAGGAGTTGGGGTGGCTCTAGGAAGAGTTAGGATTGTGGAGTAAATATGATCAAAGTACAATGTATACATTTGTGAAACTCTCAAAACTTAATAAAAATACTGTAAATTTTAAAAAGAAATAGTTTTAACAGAGGAAGGGATTGTTTTGCTTACAGTTTGTGAGATGTGGTCCATTGAGGTGGGGAAGGCATGATAACTGTCACTAGAGGCAGCCGGTCACACTGCACCCACAGTCAGGAAGCAGAGAAAAGACCAGAAAGTAGGGCCACTGTATAAACTCAAAGCCACACCCTCAGTTGTTGGTTTCTTTCTTTCTTCCTTTTTTCTCTTTGGCTCTTTGCTCTTTTGGGGGCCTATCACCCAGCTCCCAAATAAATCACACACGGAGGCTTATTCTTAGTTATGAGGGCCCACCCTAATCTTGGTTTGTTTTTTGCCAGCATTTCTTAATTTATCCCATCTACGGATGGGGAATGCACTGTGTATGTTCATCTTATTGATTATTGAATAAAATACTGTGAGCCAATGAGACGGCAAGTATGACGGGACTAGGAGTCAAAGAGGATTCTGGGAAATGTAGTAGAGAAGTGGTGATCCAGGCAGGAAGTGACATAGCAAGGAGACTCATATTTAAGCAAGGAGAAACAGAAAATGTCCCTTTTCCCCTCTACTCTTCCTCCAGCGGTGCAATGTGATCCACCGGCAAGAGAGGGTGCCAAATGAAGGCATCCTCTATAAGATAAGTCTTATAAAATATATAGATTTATGATAATTAAGACTGAGCTAACAGATGAGGAATCCTAGTCATTGGCCAAGCAGCATTTGAACCTAATACAAGTTCTGTATATTAATTTGGGCCCTAACTCGGGTGGGCAGTTGGCGTAAAGTGCACACGTGGCGGCGGGGCTCGGTGGCTTTTGGCGGAAAGATTTATCGTAACAGTATATCTTTTGCCTCTGGACTTTTTCTTTCCTTCCTTCTATATAGCTTGCTTTCACTCTTACTCCACGGCTGACTGGGAGGGTGAATGGCCCCTGACATCCTCCTCTCCTTGGCCTTGCTGTTCCTTCCTCCTACTCCTCCATGATTTCTCCTCCTATTTATTCTCTCTGCCTATCAGCCCTGCCTATCCTTTCTTCTGCCTTGCTATTGGACATTCATCTCTTTATTAGACCACCAGGTGTTTTAGACAGGCAAAGAATCACAGCATCACAGAGTTAAGCAAATGCAGCATAAACAAAAGCAACACGCCCTAAAATAATTTTCCACAACACTCAGTGACCCACTTCCTTCTGTGAGAGCTCATCTCCTAAATGTTCTACCATCAACCCTATCTGCTAGCAGGAGACTAAATGTCCAAATCCATGACCCTATGGGGGACATTTCACATTCAAATAACATTCTGTCCCTGGTACCTATAGCCTTATGGCCATTTCATGGTTCAAAATGCATTCATTCCTACCTAAAAAGTCCCTACAGGGGACTTTAAGAGTCCTAACACTGTTCAAAATTTCTAAGTCCAATCTCTTCTGAGATTCAGTGCAATTTCCTAACTATGGGCCCCTATAACATTAAAAAAATAAGTTACAAAGTTCCAATACACAGTGACATAGAATAAACATCCTGTTCTAAAATGGAGAAATGGGACATAACAAGGAAAAGTTAGGGACAAAACAAGAATAAAACCCAGCAGGGTGAACACCAACTTCTGTAGCTCTACATCCTACATCGTGGGTTTGTGATAGAATCGCCCGAGTTCTAAAGGGCTGGGTGGCTTCTCCCCTCCAGCTCTGCCATCCGCAGCCTCTCTCTCAGAAAACTCCACTCTGTGTCCACAGCTTTCCTCAACAGGTGACCTGTGATTTGGGCATCTGGATCATCCTGGTATCTCTGTTGTAGCCTCAACTTGTCCCTTGTCTGGCTGAGGAGTCTTGAGCTACAGACTCGAAAGAAGTAACATGGGAAGTCCATAGATGAGGTAAACAGACCTCGGGGCAGCACACAGATTAATAGAAATGGGTTAATTTAAGTTGTAAGAGCTGCCTGGAGACAAGCTTAAGCCATTGGCTGAGAATTTATAATCAATAATAATTCTCTGTGTGGTTATTTGGGGGTGACTGTGGGGACACAGAAAAACTCCACCTACGTGTGCATGTAGTGGGGAGAAAATTGTATTTAAACCATCTGTTTTGTGGTATTTTGCTAAGGCTGCTCTCTGAAGGAAAGAAGTAAAACTATTTCTTGTCTTTGTTAGCTGCTTTATCTTACTTAACATTATATTCTCGATAACCACCTATGTTGGGACACCCAATAAGATTCCCTTTTTTTTTTTTTTTTTCTGGAGGCTGAGAGTTAAAGCACGATATGCATTTATCACATTTCATAGTCATCCCCTCGTGGAACAACTGGACTGCATGCGCCTCTTTGCTGTTGTGAGTAATCAATCATATGGTGAATATGATTGTGGAAATATTTGAGGTCCTGATTTCAGATTGTTTCACCATATACACCCAGAAGTACATCAGATGCTAGTTTTATGTGTATTTTTTTGTTAACATTAAATTGGCTGAATTTTCCTCTCCCTCCTCTCCTCCCATTCTCCCCGCCCCCTCTGTTTCTACTCCCCAGTCCATTCTCCCTCCATTTCTGTTCAGGAAATGGTAGGTCTCCCATGAGACAAAACCAAGCATGGCTTATCAAGTCACAGTAAGACTAAGAACCTCCCCATGTATTAAGACTGGGCAAGGTGACCCCATATGAGGAGTAGGGTCCCCCAAACCAGTAAAGGAGCCTGAGACAGTCGCTGTTCCCACGGTTAGGAGTCCCACAAGAGGACTACACTACACAACTGTAACATATATGCACAGTCCCATGCAGGCTCCCTGGTTGTCAGTTCAGTCTCTGTGAGCCCAGGCTATTTGATTCTGTGAGTTTTCTTGACCCTCTGGCTCCTACAATCCTTTCTCTCCCTCTTCTGCAGGATTCCCCAAACTCTGCCTAATGTTTGGCTGTGGGTCTGCATCTGTTTCCATCAGTTGCCAGATGAAGCCTCTCTGATAACATTTGGGCTAGGCACCAATCTGGTCCCAGGAGATGACCAGTTCAGGCTACATATATGTCTGTTATCGCTAGGAGTCTTAACTAGTGTCCTCCTTGGAGATTCCTGGAGATTCCCTTGTGCCAGGTTTTTACCTGACCCCGAAATACCCCTTTCAGTACTCTCCCTCTCTGCCATTCCCCCCTCATACACATACACACACACACACACACACACACACACACACACACACACACACTGATGACTTACGTTCCCATCCTTGCCCACCCTCAATCCACTCATGAAATCTCTATTTCCCTTTACAGGGAAATCCGGGCACCCCCCCCCACACACACACACAATGAACCCTCCTTGTTAACTAGTCTCTCTGGGTCTGTGGATTGTAGCATTACTTTAAAGCTAATATCCACTTATGAGTGAGGACATACCATGTTTATCTTTCTCCGTCTGGTTACCTCTCTCAGGATGATTATTTCTAATTCTATCCATTTGTCTGCAAATTTCCTGGTGTTATGGCTGGGTCTTGTGGTAGATTGAGTCCCAGTTTTCTGAGACACCGCCACACTGACTTCTAAAGTGGCTTAACCAATTCATTTTATGTTTTGGTATTTTTGTCTGCACCATATGTATGCCTGGTGCTTGGGGAGGCCAGAAAAGGGCAACAGATCCTGAGACTAGAGCTATGGTTATGGAAACTGAACCCAAGTCCTAGGGAGAACAGATAGTGCTCTTAACCACCGAGTTGTCCCCTCTCCAGTCCTGATATGTTAAGTTTTGTGAGGAGCTGCCAGATTGTTTTCTAAAATGAGTGGACAGTTTATGATCCCATCAAGAATGAAAAATGATTCTAATTTGTACTATTATATCAACATTTGTTAATTTTTGTTTGCATTAAAATAGCCATCCTAATGTGCTTTTCAACTGCATTTCTCTAGAAATCATATGATGCTTTTTTAAAAATGTTAGGCGTAGGAGATACATCATTTATGATTTATTAAAGCTTGCCTGAGGATTCAGAAAGCAAAGCCAGCCTCAAGCTATAGAGATCAGGTATGGCGATGCACACCTTTAATCCCAGCAGTGAAGTCCGAAGCAGTCTGAAGAACGATCCTTTGGTCTGAGCTGAGGTAGAGGTAAGAAGAGCTGGTGGTGGGCTGCTTTGCTTTTCTGATGTTCGGCTTGAAGCTTGACCCCAGTATCAGTCTCTGGGTCTTTTATTTATCATCCGTAGATAAAGTGTTTGCTGTGCCAGCATGATGTTGCTTAAGATATACTGGGAGGATATAGATAAGCAGAAATTATTAAATAAAAAAATAATTGGGAATATATTTGGCAAGTAGATGAAATGAAGAAAAATTCGACACAATCATTAGTATGTGTTCTAATCCTTTGGTATGTTCATGAATGTTTATTTTTATTAAGATGCATCAATTTAAATGTACACTAAATACCCTAAGAACATGATTCTAGAATAAACACATACAACAATGCTCCCATTTACTAAAACGCTCAAAAAAGAGTACCCTGCTTTTCTCCCACAGCGGTGAGTCAACACTCCCAAACAAAAACTGGATTTCCTGAAAAACAGGTTAAGTCAATTCACAGGGGGAAACGCTTGTCAGCATGACAAAGGTCAGCACTTTCAGCACAAGCAAAATCTCTATCAACCTTTCTTTCGGGTTTCTGAAACAAAGTCATACACAAAGATGTCACTATTACCTTAAACACAAAAATGAATTGTGCGCTTGTACTCTTTGATCACAGGGAGAGAAAAAAAAAAAGAACTTCAGGAAACTTTCTTGATGTGCACGCTTAGTGTACCGGCACCTTGGCCACATCCGGTAACAATCCTGATTTATATATAGGTTCTCTAGTCAGCACTGGGCTAATAATTTACTATGGGAAATGTAGCTAATCAGAGCCACCCCACCCCGCAATTGTTGCTTTAGAATTCGTCGCCTTCTTGATTTAGGGCCGTTCATCCCAAGTTCTCCGTAAGAGCAACGAGTCCGTTTCTGAGAAGAGGCTTGTAAGAAAAACAAAATCCGATGCCGAGGGTTAAGCGGAGAGACACTGTAAAGAACATGGGAGAGGGAGGAGGTGGGAGCAGGAATCTCCCATGGGAAGGCATGGAAGCAAAACTACAGACATTTTCCACGCTAAGGCTTCCAAAAGAAAACGCATGGGCAGCAGGAACAAAACTTGCGAAGGTTCATCTCCAGGATATGAGCAATGAAACTCATCTCGGGAGGGCTGTGCTTTGAGAAACAGAAGAGCGAGCGAGCGAGCCCTCCGGTCCTCGGCAGAGGCCCCGTAAAGATGGCGGTGGGCCGAAGCCCCTTCTCTTCCCTCCACCGAAGGCTCCCGAGAGCCGCACATTTCCCACAAACCCCTCCG